GGGAATTCAGACTGGTGACAGTCTTTGATGTTGGTCTCCACTCTTCCTTTTCTGGAAATAAAGGACAGGTTACAACCAGTTTTCGCAGTCAAGGTTCTTTCTTCCTTTTGCCCTTCCCCTTCCTGGGAATTTTGTGAGGTCATGGGAGAAGATGAAGTGAACTCGCTGGGAGGACAGACAGCTGTAGGGGACACAGCTCATTCCTTCGTGGGCAACACGCAGCACAAAGCTCACACTCTGATACCTTTATGACTATCTCAGACTCTAAGTGGGGGGACTGAGGCTGGGAGAGGTGAAGTCATGTGCCTAGGGTCATTGAACAGGGAAGTGACAGAATCACATCTGTCCAAGTTCTTTTGTATTCTGCCTGCACCTCTCTGAGTCACTTTTCTATAATCAGTTAATCAATCAATCAATTATCAATCAATCAGCCTGTGTCACACATCTTTTCTCTCCTTCTCCTCCTTCTCTTTCCTGTCTGTTTTTCTCTGATGCCCCTTACAGATTCCTGCATACCCCTTATGAGAAGTTCCCAGAAGTTCACCACTTCCTGCAGTCCATTCCTCTGAATTTAGCCCCATGCCGATTCAATTGGAAAAAGATTTTTTTTTTCATGTGCAATCAGGTACCAAGCATCATCCATATAGCCTTCCAAGATAATTACTAAATACTTAAGTAGAGGGTAGCATATAATGTATGGATATGCTGGACAAAGGGAGGATTCACTTCCCAGTAGGATGGAGCTGGAGAGTGTGAGATTTCATCACACTATTTGGAACAGCATGCAATTTAAAACTTACTAACATTTTGTTTATTTCTGGAATTTTTCATTTAATATTTTTGCTTGAGTAACTGAAGTTTTACCTTGAGTAACTGAAGGGTTGGAGACGGAGTCCCTGGGTAAGGAAGGGGGCTCTGTATAATGTTCCTTAGGGTCAGTTCTAACCTTAAGAATGTGGGACAAACACCCTGCTTTTGATCTGGCAGTTTTCTGGATTTCTACCTCATCTAAACAAGTGGTGAACTCACTGTATCTACTGCCACTTCTGCAGAGCAGAATCACAGATCCACTGGGTGGGGTAGGCACCTTTCCCAAGGCCTTAGGACTTTTGGACGCCCATGACAAAATTTTCATTTCTTTTAAAATTAGTTGAAGTGAATACACTTAAGATCACAGAAAATATTTTGCTATGTTAATATATTCCTCTTTATACCTGTGTAGTCCCAAAATATAATTTCAATATTCTTTTAAGTAGGAAGGAGCCCATAGAGTCAAGGTGCCCAGCACCAGCCTATTAGTGTCACAATGTGGCCCTACTCCAGAAATGTTCTTGGAGGCTGGACTGAAGTACAGGGTACTTAGACATGGAGGTGGGCAATGGAATGGATGACTTCAACATTCTTTCCAGAAATGTCTCCATGAGATACTTGTAAGTGTGCAGACCCTGCCCCCGTGGTCTGGCCAGGGACCAGAGTCCCCCTGTGGACACTTCACATAGAGTGGCCGATCTTCATGCTAGTGGCCTTGACACTTCTGGCCACACCAGAGACAATGCTTTCATATTCCTACAACCCATGGTCAGATGCTCAGCTGTGGGCCTCAGCCCATATTCAAAGCCCTTCCATTTAAGGAGGTTAATAAATACCATAGCTAATATTATTGGGTAGTTACACTGCTCCTGGTGTGGATTATGTGGTTCTTCCTGCAATATGATTTTCTAGCCAGGTGACGTGGCACATGCCTATAATCCCAACCACTGGGGATTTTGGGGCAAAAGGATGGCAAGTTCAAAGTCTTGTTTCAAAATAAAAATTAAAAATGGGGATGGAGTTCAGTGGTAGAGCTCCCTTGGATTCAATCCCCAGTACTGGAAAATTAAATTAACTTTCTCAACCATCTGTGAAGAAGGAGTTAATTATTTTATAGAGATAAAATAACTGAGACTTGAAAATCTTACTAGTTTGGCCAAGGCTAGTAAGCTCCACAGTAAAGGAGTTGGAGAGAGGGTCTACAATTCAGAGTTAATGTTGGTTAAAACGGGGGGAGTCCAAGTTGGCTGTTGACACTAGATCCTTCTGTGTGAACTGCTCTCCTTTACCTTGGCGTGTCACATTCAGTGAGCCTGTCTACACTGAGCACAGGAACTGCACGAGAGACTGGGGTTGCAAAGGCAAGGAAAGCAATTTCAGTAAGTTCTTCCTGATATTCACAAGCAGGAAAGAACAAGGATGGAAACCGTCCATTATGATAAACACCCTCGGAACAGGGCTTTGGCAAAGGAAGCACATGCAAAGTATCATGAGGGAACCTACCATCTTCTAACCTGGAGGTTACCACCTTCTCCCCCACAGAGCTGCCTCCTGTCTGCTCTTTCCTTGCATGGCTCCAGACTTGACACAGAAGGTGGGATGCAGGTGCACAATATAGGAAATCTCAGGGTGTGGAGTCTGATCTTATATCACCTGCCGACTACCATTATCCCTGCCCCACTGCCTCTGGCCCTGGGAAGGCTGTCCTACCATCCAATGAGAGTCAGGAAATGTTCTTGTTTCTTCTTGAAATGCTCACATGTGTCCTTCTCTTGTTCCTAGCAGAGAGTTGATGGTGTGCTCAGTTTTCACATTGACGACCAGGTCACAAGAAAGGATGGACAGTCTAAGAGTCCCAGTAGCCACCTGGCCTATGGCGTTTTGAACATCCCACCATGGTATCTCTGCATCTTCTTGGGGATCCAGGTAATGCCACTCTGCAAGCACTAGGTCCCAAGAGGCTCTGCCTCCCAAGTTACCAGGTCACACAACCAGGTCAAACTGGTCAACACCGCTGACTTCAGCTAGCATCATGACTTCCATATGGTTGACCTTCAGGGGAACTCAATCCCCTTTAGTCTCCCTCTCTCTGGGCATTTGGGGGATGGAAATGTGTTATCAGAAAAGGATTCTTCCTCATGCTGAGCTGACTGGTCACATCAATGACTCTGACTGTTCCATTGTTCTCTGGAGTGGGTACAATGGCTTAGTTATGTCTACAACATGTAGATGAAGTCAGAGAAGTGCTAGGCTCAACAGCTTCCTTGGTGCCATCCCTGCCTAGTGGCACAGCACCTGCATAGAATATGGGTAGGTGATGAGTTCAGTTATCAGCCCTGAAAAGAGAGAAAAAGAGATTTGTTTGCTAACAAGAGGGAGTTGACCCTGATAATTTTGGTCATCCCTTATTGTTGGGCATGATATGAGGTAGGAAATGAAACACTGGTTGATGTTTGGCCTAGACAATCTTGTGACTTGTATTGATCTGAATGGTGGAGGTCAAGAACATTGATAAGAGGCCATGAAGGATGATACATCTCATGTCATGTATCCCAAAGGGACATGGGAGTGATGGCAAGGATTGTCGAAGGGCACCTACATACATATCCACATTTCTTCTCTGGAGCCCCCACTCCTCTTCCTTAAGGGGCAGTTCACCCCTCACTGATTATGGTTTGTTGAAGTTGTCAGGTTAATCAAGGAAAGAAGAGTGGGCAACTTTTCTTTTAGTGGGAGTTCAAAGTCTGCTCTGCTTTCAACACATATCTCATCCCACCTTCTTCTCCTAAAGACCAGTGCTCTTCATACTAGTTGAATTATTCCAGAACATTCAACGAGGGGATTACCCTCACTACATAATCCTCTGGTCCTTTTGAGACATTGCTTGGCATGGTAACAGGAGCTGGAACTGTCCACTTAAAGAAAACCTGGCCTTGGATTTCACTTCCATTTTCTTTCCATTGCTGTTTCCACTCATGCCTGAAGAGATGTGGGGGTCCCTGTCCCTAGGTGCTGTGGCCCAAGGTTCTTCCTGGCACCCAGGCCTGTCCCATCTTAGGCAGGGGACACCTACCTCCTGTCCTTCTCAGAGGGCCAATCCTGTGTCCTGCTGGAGTAGTACACATTCTGAGACTCCATTTTCCCTGAGGGCATATGGGGTATGGAAAAACAGGCGCACACAGTGTATAGACGATTTTAGTTTTTTCTTAATATTCTTAAAAAAACCTAATTTTTATCTGGTCTAATTTAGCTCACATTGAGATTTTGGATCAAATCCCAACAAAATAAGAACAGAAGAATGTGCCTTATTTTGCCTCCTTTTTGTGTAGGTCTGGCTGTTTTGTGGACAGGAGGAGTGCTAGGGACAGGCAGGATCAAGTGTTCTGGGCCTTGTGTCTTCATTCCACCTAAGGACACCTTGAGGGAACTCTTCAAGGCACTGCCCCTCACAATGAGCTCTTAATTTCCCTCCTTTCTTTCTCCACTCATTCCTTGTTTATTCCTTGTCTGGCCCAGCAGCTAACTTTTGTAACCAAAGCAAACCAAGCCTGCCTACCCTTCCTTCACCTAGACCCTATTCTTACAGGATGGGGTAGACCCCACTATACTGGGTGAACCTGCAATGCTACATTTACTGCAAATCAGAGGGATCCTATCAGCACCCACAACATGCTGAGGTTCTGGTCCATTAGTTGCTTGGCTACCTTGTCATGGGGGATAGGGACGCGGAATCAACACACAGACTCCGGGAGCTGGTGAGAGAACTGGCTATAGACCCACCTCAGGTCGTCATCCAGTAGCTCAGTTTATTTTTGGAATGCACACAATTGTTATAGGGTTCGAGTGATCCATGCCCATCAATCACACACGAGCAAGTTAGCATCCATAAGCCAATCATCTGATGCCTAATGTAACCACACTATGAAGATGCTCTAAATATTGCTATCATCAGGAAGGGTCTTTGTCTCTAGGGAGGGGGTTTCTAAGTTAGAAGTTCCATGTGGAAGCTCCTGGCTATCAGTCTCCTGGCCTGGCAGCTTGGCAATGCTAACACAAGTGCAAAGGATGTGGTTTCACTAACGACTCCCTAGAGCAGAGCATCCCATCCTGCAGGCCTTCCTATCAGACCTGAACGAGTGCAGATTCCTCAAGCACTCCAAGCTGCTCATAGCTGCTAGCTGCCAGCTGGAAACTGAAAGTTATTCCAACAACAACAGGAGGCCCTGTGACTGTGCCAGCAGAGGCATGGCCTAGCTCAGCAGAGCATGGGGAGGATCGGAGCAAAGGAAAGAAACAGGTGGCTTCATGCATCTTTGTTCTCAGAACATTTGGCTCAGTGATCAGATTTTTTGGTGGACACTGGGGATTGAACCAGAGCTCACTCTCCCACTGAGGTACATCCCCATTCTTTTTTTACATTTTATTTTTATTTTGAGACAGGGTCTCTCTAAGTTTCTGAGGCTGGCCTTAAACTCTTGATCCTCCTACCTCAGCCTCTCTAGTAGCTGGGATTAAAGGCATATGCCAGAACACCTGGCTCCATGGTCAGCTTTGTGTGGGGATTGAAGCCACACACTGGACACTTGGTGTGGCTCAGAACAGAAATGGCCACAGCCCATGAAAAACCCTTAAGACCTGTTCATTGTTTCTGCTCTGGAGTTAGAGTGTGTGAGACAGTGGCCCATTCATACACTGTATTGGTTGCTTGGCCCCCTACACCTTCCTCCTCTCCTTCTAGCTAGGTGTCTATGTATATACTCTGTCTCTAACTGTCTTCTATTTATCTCTTGTCTGCTACTTATCTACCTGTAATTTACCCTCTGCATAACTGAGGCCGTCAGCTATGAGCTCTGTCCTGTTCTGAACTCTGGGTCTAACTCTGTCCTTTCAGGAGACCTCAAACAGCCGTGGGCCAGTGGCTCCAGGTGAATGCTCACGCCTTCCTTGTCAATGGCTCTCACTGTTGCGTCATGGAGTGAGGAGCCCCTTGCTATGTTCTTATTCTTAGGCCCTCATTTGGTTCCTGTTATGTCCTCCTGTGCTTGTGTTTCTGCCTCAGTTTCTTTCCTAGGATACCACTTCCTGGTTCCTGAGCCCTGCTCTCACAGCCCAGTTCCTCTGGTGGGGTCACTGTTTCCCATGCCTAGTTTGGATGTTTGCTCCTCACTCATGGCTGGACCCCTGCAAAGCTCTTGAGACTGGACCTGGGAAGGGCATCCTTGTTAAGGGTAGGGTTGCACTCTTACTAGGTATAGTCACAGAATTCACACACTCATGTCCTGTCTCTGTCCA